TCTTCCGAAACAAAGAAACTCAAATCGGTCCCGATTCATTATGTTTCTTCTACCGATTCAAACGAGTTCACTCAACTATGTTACGCTTTAAAACACTCAAGAGTCATTGGACTTGACGCCGAGTGGAAACCTGTTCGTACTAAACCAGCTACTTTCCCTACTGTTTCACTTCTCCAACTCGCTTGCCGAGTTAACAAAACTACCGATTCCGACTCAGTAGAAGAGGAGGAGGAGAAGAAGAAGAAGATTGAAGTTGAAGTTGCTAAACAGACGGATTCGGTGGTATTTCTTGTTGATTTGTTGACAATTGATATTCCAACGATATGGGAAGTTTTGAAAGAAATGTTTGTTTCAGCTGAGGTTTTGAAATTGGGGTTTAAGTTCAAGCAGGATTTGGTTTTCTTATCTTCAACCTTCTCTTCTCATGGTTGTCATCCTGGTTTCGAATGGGTAATCTTTTAATTCATAGTTAATTAGCTCATTTCCTCATTTAGACTAAAATTTTTGAAGGGGTTTGGGTGTTAATGTTTAATTCAAGGTTAACAATTAGTTTATCTTACATTAAAAATGTAATCTTTATGGATTTTTGAGGTGTTCTGCGTTTGGGGATGTGTTGAAGCTGCTTAAAAACTATTTTCTACCAATTTTGTTAGTAAAGAGTTGGAAAAAAACACTAAAATTTTCAAAATCTCACAATGTGGATTGTGGTGCTTCTTTTGTTAAGACAGGAGAGGCCGCAAAAACTTGGTAGATGGACTTTATACAGTTATACATCACTATTCTAGAACCCGGCGATTAATTTATAATATGAAATTGGATTCTTACTTTGTCACTATTTAACATTAAATGAAGTACATGTTAACAATTGCATATTTGGAATTTCAAGACTTGGATGTTACTGTACCATCACGAGTGAGCGGGTTGTTGCATGACACATTACTGCATGTAAAAACATAAGTACGCATGGACTTCTACGATAAGCACAGTCGTGTAACATGATGAATGATGTCAACACTAGGACCTACAAATATGCAATATAGTGCACCTGAATCCTCACTTGCTGGTTCTTATACCAAATGATACACAAAATCTTGAGGGAGTAGATAATCCACTTTTATGATCTTAAGAAGGACCACATTTCTAATTACACACCTCTTTGGATCCACAATTCTATGATTTGGATCTCCAATTTATTGTCATCTAAAAGATAATGCAAACTTATTTTCTTATGTTTTTTGTTTTCTTTTGTTTCCCTCCTCATCTTCAGTGATATTTTACTATGTTCTGTTACTATTTGGTAAATTGCCAGGTGGAACCTTATATGGAGATTGCAAGTGTATACCATAATCTGCAACATAAACAATCAGGCGGAAAATTGTCAAAGAATAATAAAAGCTTGGCAGCTATTTGTGAAGAATTGCTTGGAGTTTCTCTTTCAAAGGTAAGTTTCACGTGCGTTCATTCTTTTCTTTTGGTAAATTATTTGCATATGTGTTCAACTTTATCTTTCGAATCCACTGTTGAGTTTTCTGGTAACCTACTCTATGTGCAAACAACAATGTTAAATTGCAATAACTTTTACACTGGTGAGGAAATAGCATTCAAGAGGAATGCTAAGGCTTTTATAGCATCTGGTGTGTGTGTGTGTGTAATGTTTGCATGCAAAATTGCAAACCAGAGACTACCAGTACATGAATACTTAGTATATTTATATGTATTGTTGACTATTTTTAAAATTAACTT